GAAATCAAAAGATCAATAATATAAAAACAAAACTCGTTAATTTTCAGGTTTTAATTTTTTAAAATTAAGGCCTAAAATATTATTTTTAAATCTAATTTCTTTTTGATCATTATTTTTTTAATATTATATTTGAAGATCTGAAATCTTGAAATATAATACATTAATAGCTTTTGATTCTATTAAAAAAACAATAAAAAGAAAACTCATATTATTTCTTTTAATATTCAATTTTAAAAATGCTGAATAACTATAAATTCAAGTAAAGAATTTGTCTAAAATTGAGGTCGGCATTCATTCAAAACGAGACTGAGTACTGACTGACAGTCATGATTCCCGGATAGAATCAAACGAAACGAAACGAAACGAATCATAATATTATGGAATAATTGTACTTTCATTTCTTTTCACAAAGAACATTTCACGAAGAACACACATACCTACATACCAATAGCATAACTTTCTCGTCAAAATGTGAATATTCGCAGAGATGACAGATGGTGTTATTATATATATATACAATTCTGTACTGAATATAATGAAAGTCGCTTGTATCTCGAATCAAGCATCGATAGTTTGTAGTGAAGAGGAATGATTATTATCTCTATAGGTAGGTAAGATATGGAATAATACCTATGGAATAATAGGTAGCATGTATGTGACAGTCTGGAAGTACAAATGTTATTATTCAATTTAGTTACTTGTAAATGTATGTTCGACTACACAGATCCTCAGTCTTCCTCGAGAGTCAACCTCCATTCTATCCTTCAGTCCTTGCTCCATCCCCCACTATCCCTCAAAAATCAACTATCCCTCCAAACTCACCCCCAACCCCCAACTCCCAACTCCCAACTTTCTCCCTAACCCCTCCTCAAAGCCTGGTTAACCCGATCCATCAACCCCCCACCCCTCCCTACCCTCCTAATCTTCATTGTACAAACCGGACATCTAATCTTCTGCCCCTTTCCTTTTCCCTTTCCCTTTCCCCCCTCCGTCCCCCTCAAATGCGTCATCCAATCCTCTAAACACGTGGTGCAAAAGCGATGTTTACACGGTCTTGCAATCGCTACTTTAGGAGGTAGCTCGTCTGTACAGATTGGACATGTGGATTGCTCTTCTTTCTTTCCGGGAGTAGATGCATCTGCATCTGCATTTCTATTTCTATTTCCATTTCCATGTTCAAAGAGCGCTAACATCCACTCCGGCGTATCACCTTTATCACCTTTATCACGAGGGAACTTCGCATTCGCATTCACAATCGCAATCCCATCCTGCGCCGCACCTCCCCCTCCCCGTCTCTGCAACTCCACCTCCCGATCAATCTCCGCCATCGTCGTATACCCAAACCCCCTCTCCATAATATCCGGCCAGGGCACCACCGCACCCGCGAAAATCGCATCCATGTTCTCCCGAACTTGTGCTCTCAGTTGCTGGAGATCCGGGATGCCTTGGAAACGGGGATTGAAGTAATTTATAACTTCTTGCTGGTTTGCTTGAGCGGGTTCAAGATGCTGGTGGGGGGCGAGAAGGTTTGGGTTTATGAGCTCGTTGGGAGTGGAGTTTTGGGTGTTGGGTGGAGTGGGTTTTGGTTGGAGGGGCTTGGGGTTGAGTAGATAGGTCTGTAGTTGGTAGAGGAGTGTTGTGATCATGATGAGGGAGAAGATGAATATAGCGATGAAAGCCGCAAGTGGATTTCTCTCAATTTTTCTGTTTCGAAATTCTATTTTGAGTTGACTGTTTGTCGGTGTCCCGAAAATTGATCTTAGATATCCAATACCAGTAGTTAACGGTTTGATGTCCATGGCGTCTTCTATAAATGGGCGACGGATAGTATTTCTTCTTGTATTTTGGGTTCTCTGATGATAACTACTTTGAAAATTGACTTGGATGATGATTGTTGAGATGAGTATGTAGATGAGAATGTACAAGAAATTAGATGCTAAATGAATGGAGCGAGCTTCAACAGAGAGCTCCTTATATCAAGACCAATATACCACAGACACAGAACAAACACCGTAGACTTGCCTCAAGACTATTGATCCATAGTAACCGTACACGAGGTTTGCGCGTGAATGTGTGTTCGCTGATATCTTATTTACCGTATCTCGCTAGCCCAGAAGATCAGTTGAAGTAAAACATTACCACACGACAAGAGGACATCGATTCGAAGTATGATGATGAGTTCGGATCCATTGTGAATGAAGTGCTTTAAAGTTGCATCCTGAGAACAGAGCTTGATGATATAGAGGCTACACATGAACTGAATTTTTTGGCTGTCGAAATACGTAGAGATGGAAATTATTCACTCGGTGGATAATTGGAGCCTCTGAATCCTCATGAGAAGATGAAAGACTCCAGTGCCTGATGCACGCTCACACCAGAACGATATAGCGGCTAACACAACAAACCAAACACTATCTTGATACAACCCAATGACAGAAATTTATTACGGCATTAAGCGATCTATTAACCTGTAAAAATTTAGGTCTCTTCTCTCAACCCGGCTAAAAGTCTTCATCTATTTTTGTGGATACGAGATACAGCCATTCCGGTTCAAAAGATCAAGCAAAATGTCAGACAGTAGCAAATAAGCAAGGAATTACTGAGATCGATAGTGATAGCCAACTTGGCGTTTTCTCAAATCGCTTAAGGTCAACAATTGTGGGATATACAGCAAAACAAGTCCCTAGACTGATTACCGAGGTGTGATCTCTAACCAGTCTGGATTGAAGTTCAATTTTGTAAAAATTCGATTCTATGCATTAGATTTCCAATGCCACACTGCTATATTCGTACAACCATGCGCCGTAATCTTTCCGCGAGACTGTTACTTGCCCTAAATCCCAATATCCTAAATATACCGCTCAAACCTTTACTCAGCGACCCAAACAGCAGCCATACCCATACCAGTACCCACACACATACTAGTTACGCCAACTTTTTGATTCGTTCTTCTCAACTCGTATAATAATGTGCTGACTTGTCTAGCTCCGGTACACCCGAGAGGATGTCCGAAAGCAATTGCACCACCCTTTGGATTGATCTTCTTCTGGTCGAGTCCTAACTCATTTGCGCACCAAAGACATTGACTTGCGAATGCTTCATTGATCTCGAAAATATCCACATCATCCTTATTGATGCCGGTCTTTTCGAATACCTTTGGAATAGCAGCCCAAGGACCGATACCCATAAGTAAAGGAGCTACACCCGCAACAGATGCGGCAACGTATTTACCAAGAATAGTTTGACCGAGTTTCTCGGCTGTGGAACGCTTCATCAAAAGAACTGCGGCAGCTCCATCTGAAATTTGAGAAGCATTTCCGGCATGAATACTACCGTCCTTGGCAAAAGCAGGCTTGATTTTGCCTAAGCTCTCAGCGGTAATACCTGGTCGAACACCATCATCTTTGGAAACAGTGATGTCCTTTGTTTCGCCAGTTTTTGGGTCTTCCCATTTGACAGTCAGAGGAGCAATCTCCTCATCAAAGAGACCCTCTTGTTGAGCTTTGAGTGCCTTTTGGTATGATGAAGCTGCAAATGCGTCTTGTAGAGAACGTGGAATTCCCTTGTCTTTGGCCATGTTCTCGGAAAGAACGCCCATAGGCACTTTGCAGTTCGCAGATTCTGGGTGGGACTCGAGGAGTTCAGAGAATTCTGTTACTGCGCCAGGTCTGCGAATTTAACGTTAGCTTTTAAATCTGCACAGAAGTAGAGAAGAGGCCCATACCCATATTGCAAACTCATGCTTTCGACACCTGCACCAACACCAATATCAATCATGCCGGACTTGATGGCATTTGCTATATCCACACATGCTTGTAAACCAGATGAACATTGTCTATTCAAACTCTTGACTGCTGCAGATACAGGAAATCCTGCAGCCAAAGCGGCGGCTCGGAATTCAGTAGCTCCACCTCCAGGAGGAAGCACCGATCCAACAGCGATGTCTTCAACGAGCCCCGGGTCGATTTTCGAACGTTCAATGAGAGATTTAAATGCGCCAACAAGTAAATCTGCTGCTGCTGTATCTTTGAAGCCTCCTTTGCCACCCTTTGTAAATGCGGTTCGCAGACAAGCTGTTACGACAATCTAGAATAGAAAATGTTAGCAATTGGTCGAGGGACATCGTTTGAAACATTAGTTATTCTTACATCATCTGGATGCTTCTCCAAGAGCTTCGCGCGGCCACTATCACCCTCTGTGGGTGCAATAGTGCTTTGTGATCCAGCCAAATGGCCGGAAACTTGCCCAAGACGTTTTTGTGCTATGTACACTGTCAGCTTTGTTTGCAGTCCTTCACTAGCGATGGATACTTACCAGCTGACATTTTGGCAATATATTAATGTAATATGTGATCAAAAGTTTGTTCTATGCAATGAGAAGTATTGGGATAGAAAAGATGTTATATGAGAAGGAGGAAAGAAGAATGCACATTGGGGTTGGATGTCGATGGATAGTAATATTGAGGATACCTCGGTAGGAATTCAACCAATCATGGACGTTAACGGCGATTTCACACTCACATGCTTTTACAAGGTTGGTCTCAGAACTCAGAACTCTCAGCCGAAACCAGAACTGAAGATTGTCTGACATACATTTAAACATTGTAAGGTTAACTGGAGGTCACGCACTGATTAGTGAAAAGGCAAGCAATCTCTCACATGTGCTGGGATGGGAAGAAGCTCTATCGTACTGGAATGGCAATTGCTTTTGTCTCACGTGCCATGTTTTTGATCCAGCGTTTTGACATGTGAAGTTCAAGGTTTCTTTAATCATCCATGTGGTGTGATTTTAGTGATTTTCCGACTCAAGCGAGTTTTTAATGGCGTGTGTTTAAAATATTCATTAAAACCACCTCTTCGGAAAACACAAGTTCCACTTCTCTCCTTTGATTCTACCTTCATAATAACCTCTCTCTCTACCTTCCTTCGACCTTCCTACGAGTGCTTATTCCCACCGCACCACTCATAGTTGCCAGTGCAATACTTCCAAGCCCCGATAAATCATAGCACACACTCTTCAGTAATAGTCCACTTATTCATGTGGCAAAACCCATTGTCATAGAGGTATTTGATTTGCCTCTCAAGAGATTTCGAAATTCCGGAAAACTTCCATTCGGTGGATTTGAAGTCGTAGAAGCAAGCCGCACGACTGAAGTAACGATACGTAGATTGAAGGTTTCTGGCACATATCTTGACACTACCAACACCATAAAATTCATCGATTGTCCTAACCACGTTCCTAGCAAGCCGTTTAAAATCTGTGTACCCACTATCTCTCAATGCTCGCTCCCCGGCGTTTGGTAGAATGTGTATGACGATATGCTCTGCATATCTCACATACAGTGGGAGCAATTTGATGAATCTTCTCTCTCTTTCGATGGCTCCAGGACTCGGATGACTGTTGAGTATAATAGTAAACGTGTTGTCCTCGTCAAGGTACAACCAGTCATGTTCAAAGACGTTATTGCCGTTTTGCTTTACTTCTATAGATTGACCATTGGTATTCACTCCCGAGATGTAATGTAGCGTCCATTTCGTGAATTTTAGGTCAAAAAGTGGAATCACAGCATGAAGTTAACGATGATTATACCAAGGCAATTGGAACTCAACGTCTAGCTCTTCAATATTGAATCCATCGAAGATACCTCTCATCTTTGTCAAGAGCTGGGTTGCGTGTTCAGTGTCCTCTCCATAGTCTATTTCGTTCGAGCGATTTGTACGCCCATGGACTCCTGGGTATAAGCAAGCCGGCAGTTTATCTTGATCTGTATTTTTCTCACGCATCCCAAGAATCCGGGGCGGTGCTCAAGCAGAGATGTGAAACCCGTTCCTTCAGTTTGCTCTCTAGCTCGTTCTTCATAGTCGATGGTTATGACGAGGGTGTCTCCGCCCGAAATTGCCAAATTCTCATGCTCTGGTATTTGAGCAATGTCTCTGCGTTGTGGCATTATGGTATTTTCCCAATTGCGAGAGCTTTTTCACTTGCAAATTTCCCAAATCAAAAATATCTCAAGTCTATCGATGAGTCTCTTTCCGGAGTAAATGGCGATATAGAAAAGGAGGTGGTGTTTCGGAATCTCTTAAAACACCAAGTAAGAAATTATTTCATAAAGCATTATAGCACCATTATAGCAACAATAGACGTGTCGGGTATATCGAGAGTACTACCACCTAATAGATCGTTCCAGTCCAGTCGGCTGAGTTTCCCAGTAATGGGTTTCTAGTTCCAGATTGGGAGAACTTTCTATACAACTCTATCCATCATTTCTAGCTTTTGAATTCAAGAAGTTGTGGTATCTTGCTTGAATGTCTTTCCATTTAGTGATGGATGGAAATGGAATATAGTTGCACAATCACCATCATGGAATCAGATTCAAAATCTTTCAACATAGTATATGCAGATAGGTAGTTGAGCAAAGCCCAAGACATAGTTCTCTTAGTTGATCTTTCAAACTCTTCAATCACCCAGAAATGTTTGTAAGATTCCCACAATGGCTCGTCGCGGTACAAAGACTTTCAGGCAATGTTTCAAAACATCAAAAATCTGAAACTTCATGCTTCCCGAATAGCACTCCAGTAGTCTTGATGCTTCTATTGATTCAACAAATAAAGATATATAGCACTTTACAAACTCCCTTTGAACTCTTACAGCAATAAACTTCACCCTCGAACTAGAATCGTACCCTTTCCAACAAAGAAAGAGAACCTAGAATACAATGCGTCGTTCGGAACTTCAATACGATAACAATGGAAAGCTTACAATCAACTTCGACTATAGAAATTCCACAGCTGTGTGTAACCTTTCACAATATGCCTCGAGCGTCCGAACAATACACTTCAAAATCAAATTCCCAACCCCGAACTGCAACGACTCTGATCTTCCAAGGGTCACAGGAGAAATCGAGGATATTGTCAAGGTTATCAACAACGAATTCACAAACGTGTCTCAATTCGATGTAACGTTCTTCTTACACAGACTCGATGTAAATCAACTTTCGAGTGCTCTTGCCTTTCGAAGACTTGGTCTCAGAGGATGCGAATTGACTTACTTTGTCGAAGGTGAGTGGACAGATACAGTTGATATAGATTCGGACTGGCTTGAAGAGCTAGGACCTATATATGGCGCGCCGAATTACAGTAACTATTATCCCAGCGATAGCGATGAGGGTGAAATATGGATGGCCTCGGACTCGGAGTAGGTGTTAGAAGATAGGGATTGATACTGTGTAGATCACTTTGTTATTGGCCTCATTTTTGGTGTATAGCTAGCAGTCACAGGGGAGTATGAAGGGGTACTTGAATACATGTATTCTCTATAACACAGCGCAGTTTCTCGTATAAATTGAAAAAATTACAGTAGCTGTCAAGAACTTCCCTCTGTCAAGATGTGAACTCAAAGTTTGAGTATAGCTAGTGCTACTTCATAACATCCAACTGGGGGTTTTTTTTGAAAGTCATATGATTGTCCTAAAATTCATTTGCGGTACACTTAAACTCCTGACTTGGTTTATTCAACCAAATTTTACATCTACATTTTCTTCAATATATATTCTATTTCGTATAGTTCTTAGTGTATATAGAGTTTCGATTTTTTATCTATTTTTCAGCTGTTGTGAATTTACCATTTGATCGATTAAGCGAAATTTACTGGTATGTTTCCGGAATATTTAGTATGTGCCCCTTGTTCCTATTTATATCAGTTGAATAAACTACTAAGGCTTACCAGCCAGGAGCTCACCGGATAAATTGAATAGCTGATATAGTAATCTGACGGCTTCGGTCTACTAGGAATTGCATTCGAAACCCAATGTGCAACACCCGATGTAGGGGTACACAGTCTTGCGTCTGTTTTGAAAGGGAGGAATCACTGCAAGTGCGACAAACTTTTGATGTCACTCGATTGAAGAAATCTAATTCATATTTGCATTCGGAACTAGATATACTAACTAAAATCCTACGCCCAACGAAAGAATGGAAGCAGATGTGAGTAATTAGTGATTTTTTTCCCGGCTGGAAACTGCAAGAATACCCTTAGAATTCACCTGCACAATAACAGGAAGGGAATCTCAAAGCTCTGGTGGATCAATTATGCTTTCCAGTAATCTACTGCAAGCACGCAGAGAATTAGCAGAGGCGGGAGATAGCTCGTGGATGACAGCCATGATCATCTCGCCGCAAAGATCTGTGAGCCGGTTAAGCTCTGGTGAAGTGCCGAAATTGGAGTGTTCACGAAGGTCCTGAATTCTGCGCTCAACAAGCAAGCCAAATGGGATTTCTTCTAGATTCTCCTTATCAAGACCGACAAACAGTCCCCAAGCCGGCTTCAAGCCAAGGAAACGAATTGCAAAATTTAGGTAGTCAGATCTACGTTCATCAGCCCGGAAGAAAACCTCGACCTTCTTGAATTTTCGATATCTATTGATGAGTAGAACCATTTTGTCAATCAACCTCTTGCGATCATTAAGCATGCGTGCCAACAAGTATTTGCGCTTCAATGGTGTGATTTTGATACGGATTTCGGCTGCTTGGCTCAACAAGAGAGGGAGAATGTTGAAAAATGATTCCTTCAATTCCTCGCGCTCATCCACATACTTGATTTCCTTGCGTAGTCTGCACTTCTTGGTGTGGTCGATTTTGATGGATAAAAGCCTTCCATCCTTGAAACGCAACCATGGATGAGTGGTAATCTCTCTTTCCAGTTTGGAATTGTGCTTCACTTCGATTGTGTTTGGTCCCCTTCTCCATTGGCAGTGAGTGGAGCGTCCATTCCGTAAAATTCAGATTGTAGAGAGGAAAAAAAGCCTGGAGCTGAGGAACGTATTGGTCAAATTTATCCTCCTTCCTCATGTGAAAGATTATCACTAACTTATCGATCTTGTTAGATCTATTCAATAATTCCCTTATATTGGTCAATAATTCGGTCTTTCGAGCGGTATCATCACGGGCTCGTCTGTCGTCCGGATCCCGGCATAAAATCTCGATACGGATTCTCCTGGTATATCGTAGATATTCGGGGAGTCGTACTAAGAAGGGCTTATTACCTCTGCGCTGAGTATGCACTTGCCAATCGTTGTTGATCGTTATGACTAGGAAAGATCCTTCTACAATTTCCAAGCCCTTATGTGGTTCGATATATGCAGTATCCCGTCTTAAGCGATCGGCTCGATTGAGTTTGTTCTTGCGTTTTGGCATCGTGATACGGAGGAAGATTACTTCGCTATTCTATGGAGATTAGGGAGGTTCGATGTTATCGAGAAATGATTGGTATGTCTGAAATCTTATGAGACAGGTTGTTTCAATGATAAGATGAGACATGTGGCCATTTATCAAATTTTTGAATACTTGGTTATCAGAGCTCACAAAGGGCTTCACCTGTGACAAGGCATCATTGTACATGTATTAGCTGCCACGAGTATTTTGTATGGAAGTAAAGTATACGTTTGTCGCATTGTCTAACAGAGTATAGAACATTACCTTTCAACAGATTGATGAATTATAATTTGCGGAAGACAATGGCAACCTTTCGAGGAGCACTCATTTAATTCATATTGGATTTCTGTTCTTTGTTGAGGTCTAAGACATTCCGACAACAAGTCTCTTCTCTGGCAGGGTGTTCTCGAAAGGTTTTTACACATTCGACTCGTAGTCTACACCTGTCTCGAATCAATAATGAATTCAGTTTCATGATTCGAGAGCATGCTCTTGTGGTTCGCTTTTGACATTTTCTTTATGATGTCCGGGCCTAGAAAGCTTGCTACGTTGGAAAATACTTAAGATCTACAATTTCCCCGAGTACACTAACATAGTATCACTATCACGCCTCACGCACACATATCCATCTTCCATCATCTGACAAGAGTTCAGCCAAAAATGGCTACTGTACTCAATGACATTCCACGCCACCGCGAACTCAGTTACAGTCGCAATAACAGATCTTTAACAATCAACTACGATTATAGCCTCGGTCACACAGAAATTGAAGGGGAGACGTTGGAGTATACATTAACTCAATATGCCGCCTTCACCGAAAAAGTTATCGTCAAAATCCAATTCCCCGAAGCAGAGAACAGATTTCGCTGCAACGTTCCAACTTTCGGAATCAGATATACCGTTGATTATGGCCCCATTAATCAGGAAGAGAATCTACAACGTGTTGCAGATATTGTTCGAGTTCTTAAAGACTTCCGTCGGTTGAGGTCCCTAGAAGTTAGTTTGAGCCTCGATACCGATGACTTCCGCCAAGTTACCTGTGTTTCTCCGTTTTTGGATCTGCGTAGTCGTTGCCAGCAGTGGAGCTTGAGATACAAACGTGGTAGACATGGAAGTTATGTTTCTATCGGCCCGGATTCACCACTTTACACTCGACTCGAAAACTTCAATGATGCTAGAACGTTTGAATGATATAGGATTTGTTCACAGTTATTTTTCTGGTAAGTAGATGAAGGTTCTTCTTGAGGATGATGGGGGAATATATCAGCTAGTTATAGTCAATTCAATCATGTTTACAAAAGCTATACCTTCAGATCTTAATTTCTGCGAATCTTTCTCAAACAGCCCCATATTTTCCTTCGAGCTATAAAATCTAGATGCCACGAAACTTTCAGCGTACCATTTCTTTGTCTTGTTGTCAACTGTGAGATATTTCGAAGTCATAATTGTCATTGTTAGGTGAAGTTTCATACGATTGTGGAGACTCGAATTTTGAGACTTGTCTAGACATATCTATGTCAAGTAGTATCGCAAGAAAACAACGAACTGGTTTCTTCGATGATTCAAGCTGTAAGTGAGTTTCTTGGGAACAAAGACACCCTTCGAGGGCTCATTCTACGACCATCTCATTAGCATCTTTAATAGTCTTAATCTTTCCATAGCTTGACACACATTTTTGGAAGATATATAACCTCAGGTCATTCGCAATAAAATTCTCGTATTATCAACTTGCATCTCATCAGCAAAAGCGCACCTTCATATCAATAACACCAAAAAAATTCAACATCAAGGAAACGATCCAAAAACGCCCAAATGGCTTCAGGTGTTACTTGGCACTCTGAGCTTTCATACCATCATGGTACTTTAATAATCAACTACGACTACGAGCATTCCGATGTCAAATACCATATTTCCCAGTACGCCCCTATTACCCGAGGAATCGTATTCAATATCTGCTTCCCCGAACCAGATAACGACAATTCCGGTCTCATAAGAGTCGAGCGAGATCTCTCTGAAATAATCGAAACTCTCAACGACGAATTCGACTTATGTAGAACTGATGTTGTATTCTGGCTACGCGAATATGATATTTCTCTGGGATGCGAAGACTCAACACCTGTACGCGGTGCATCCTACGAACCTCCAGCTCTCTCTTGAGAGTCTGCAGAGCTAAGATTGAGTCGCAGATGGAATTGGAAGAATTGGAAGGAGAGAGGTTCAGAGATATAGCGAAGGATTATATTACGATTTTACGACAGCAATACCTACGAAGAGTTGAATACCAGCTTTAGACACGGATACGAAGGTTATGGAAGCTCTGGTTAGATTCAATATCTATTATCGATTACTATTTCAAATACAGAAATATGATACGTAGTAGGTCTCTTCTTTTAGAAGAGTCTTTTCGATATAGAGCTTGCCACCGCTTTACTTGTACTACAACCCTTTTTTATACCCTTTGGCTTTCAGCCACTCGAATACTACGACGACACAATACAGAGAATGCCATCGCCTTCAAATTAATACCATGCTCTGGGCATCGATACAATACAACGTTTTTCTTTTAATTTTCGAATTTTCGAATTTTCCGAATTGATTTGTGTGTGGGCAATAGAGCTTAGGATTCGGCCCTGCCCCACTATTTTCAACAGTTTCGACTATACACATCTAATAAGAGCTGGAGGATATCAAGCTTATGAAGATATACAAGGGGCTAGTTTAAAAGAGATAAAGACAGAGAAGAGTGGTGCCTTCTTCTGCTATCTCACTAGCAAGAGGACCCTTTGCTATATTGGAGGCAACTCGGGAGGGGATAACTCTTGCCTTTTATAGAAAGGGAGGGATAGCAAATTGGATTTAGGATTTTAAAAAGAGAAATTGGATATTGGGATGCTTTAATTGGATTAGGGGTAGGGGAAGAGTGAGGAAGGAAGTGTTTCAGAGGATGAAGACTATTTAATCTCTATTTGCACTCCGAATAGAGATCGGGTATAGTATTCTAGCATTCGTTTTTATTCCCCCAAATTGAATATATCTACTGTAGATATCCACTAGCAGTTGTTAGGTTCTTAAAGCCTAGCCGTCCTAAATAGTCTTGGACTGAGAAAAGGACGTTAATTAAATCAATCAATCAATCAATGATATTTCTCAGATTTCTTGTGCTCTTGAATTTCGTCTCCTTAGGGGGTGGACCATGTTTGAGTACTATGTGAGAGCATGTCGTCAAGGTATAGTGGAGATGGATTCGGATTGGTACGCGGAATTGATTGGTAGCCATTGTTCTGACGAAAACTCGACTGGTAGCGATAGCGACGAGGAGGTTTGTTATACAAGGGATACCGACTCGGATTAGAATTCGGAGAAAGGAAATTGATATTGGCGGGATGAATGGTCTTGTGGAGATTTCTTTTTTTGCTCAGTCTTTCCATGTAGATAGAAGATCGAAAGAGAATGCAAGAGACAGCTTGGATGATACAGGAATAATGATATCCATGTTATGGCATCATTATTTGCAGAGACTAGTAGAATATACAAATTGTTTAATCTCTGCCAAGAAATCTCTAAGATCCTACTAGGAACTACTGTAGCTTTAAAATAAACACTAGTAGTTCCTTTCGATGTAATTGTACAATCTTTCTGATGTCTTTACTACCTAATATCTACGCACAACTCCAGGGATTGAAACACTACAAAAACTCGACTATAGAATATTTATTTTATATTGTTGAAGAAGCTTTGAATAGATTCTTTGTCTTTGTATATGTTATTCAACTGTAATGTTTAATAATTTTCCATGATGAACTCTCCATTTCATGTGATTCTCAGAGGCTGTAAAGGTAGAATTTTTGGGTCCAGCGGGATCTTCATCTCCATCATGAATGCTGCAGCTCACTTTCTGAAGAGTATGTGAAGTGGGTGAGATTATGTATTATTTCTCTGATTCATTTTCCCTGCACAAAAGATAGCAATTGGCTTGCATGTTGATCAGTAATGTCCTGCCCCCTACAGGCCACAGGCATTTCACCTCACCCAGAGTTACATCATCACAACAGAAGGCTATTTATCAACATTGACTGCAAAAGGATTAGTAACCTATCCGATGAAATTATAGGTGTCTTTCCGAAATACTCTTCCATCATCATCATCATCATCATCATCATCAAAGCATTTTCGCAATCGATTCCACAAAGGGGAAGCATCTCATAAGCGAAGATATCATCGCGGAACGCGTCAGGCGCATTCTTGATATCGGCGTGTTTGAGCAATTGGTATTTTGGAGTTCTGCGAATTCGAGCTCTGCATACATTGATTGATTGATTGATTGATTGAATTTACGTCCACCTTCAGTCTAAGACTATATAGGACGGCTAGACCCGATGGGCCCAATAGGTAACTTTTTGATTTATAATATTAGTTATGATTTTATTAGGGAAATAAAAATAAATACTAGGGAACAATGCCCATTCATTATATGTATTGCATATAATAAGAAAATTCTGATGATCAAGAAATTATAAGGAGGTCAAGCTCTCCTCTTATTTCCTTAATTGCTTTTTTTTCATTTTTTTCTTCTCTCTTCTCTTCCACTACTACTCCTTCCTCTATTACTTCTTATTCAAAAGTCCTTACTAGATGCTATGCCTTTATAGTGATTTTGGTAATATTGATAAATTTGATAGCTAATTCGATATCTATTTTGGTATACAATAGGAATTGTATAGTGATTTTCGATAATGGTATATTCTGGAATATTTCTTTTCTTTCTGTTTTATATATAGAATAACTAATCAGGAGGTGTTGTAGTATCTCAATATTATTGTATATACATTTATTATTGGAGTGATTGAATTGATATAGATATAATTTGATATATCCATAACCTAATTTCAATTGAAAGAGTATACTAGCAGTATTTCGACTGGTTCCAATTGGTAGCTTAATTTTCGATCTGATTTTCCATAGAAATAGTTTTGAATAAGTTAATACTAATTGATTGGATCTGAGTTTATATTGATTGAGAATTGAACTTTATTGATCGAGAGAAAATTCTTTGATTATCATTCCTAGCAATCCAAAACTGGTTTTATTCGAGATGGATTGTATTGTAGTAGCCTCTTTTGCTAGTTTATCTGCTAGCTCGTTCCTTTTAATTGATATGTGTCCTGATATTTAATTCAAGGATATTTCAGATCCTTTAATTATAATAACTTCGACTACCTTGATTGCTCGAATTTGATATACTTGCTCTAAGTAATTTAAGAGTATTTTCAATTGAAGAAGACCTGCTTGATTATCTGAATAAACCTTGAACTTCTTTTTATTACTAACAATTGAGCTAATATATTTGATAGCTTAAGTAATTCCATATAGCTCTTTATTATAAACTAATTGATTACTTCCAATATTGACTTATTCTTAATATGAAATCTGATCATTCGATTATATTAATACTATCCCTATATCAATATCTATTCCCTTTTTAATAAAAGAAGTATCTATATAAATATAAATAATATTTTGATCTCTATATTTAAGAATAATATTATGGAGTATTACTACATTTTCTTTTAAAGCCTAATTAATATTAACTTTAAAAGGGATTTCCTTTTTCTATAAAGAGAAATGAAAATGAATAATCTTTTTGAAAGAGAATAAATCAAATTTTTTATCAATTGATTCCCTAATTCTATCAAGTTGAATTAGTTTGTATAACTTTCTTTGAAAAGTATTAATTACTTCTTGATTAGTATATTGATATACTAAAATAGCTTTTTCGATATTAATTAGATATTTGAATAAAAGTTTTATTAATCGAAAAGTGTATTGCTTGATATTTGAGTCTAATCAGATATTTGCTGGTTTTAATTCCAATTCGATTTCTATTAAAAGAATTGAAGCGATTTTGAAAACTTCTAATATCTTTCGAAAAACTAGGTTTTGAAAAGCTTACATTTTATCCTTAAAGTAAACTTATTCTTTCCACCAAATCACTAATTTGTAATCAGCTATACTAATTATATAAATTATATATAATTATCAAAGAGCTTTAGGACTTAGGCCTTTTTCGATATTTGCTAGTTGAGTTATTCAATAAAAGACTCCTTTTGCTTATATGATTCGGATATTAATATATTAATTGAATTTGAGATTTGGATCGAATTATATATCTAATTATTTAATTAAAGATTGAGATTTAATAATATCCGAATTGGATAATATAATTGGAAAGTTTTTGGTTAGCTTAAATACTGAGAAGTATATTAATTCTGTTTTTATTAAATCGAATTGAATTGTATTTTTCAAGCTAAATTTGTAGATTTGCTTTGTAGCTTTTTCAAGAAATCTAATATTCTTTTTCCATAAGGATAAGTTTGTGATTAAAGCAATATTGTTAATATAGAAGAGAAATTTAATTGATTTTGAAAAGAATAATTCTTTAATATATATTAGGAAAAGGATTGGAGAAATTGGACTACCTTATAGTATTCCGATCGAAATAGGCTTGAAGAATTCGATTTGATTATTGAAAAAAAGTTTTAGCTATTTTTATTATAAAAAAGAGGCTATCCAGAAAATGAGATTTGTTAGCAATTTGTTATATGGATATATATATAGTAGTAAGCTACCAGGAAACAATCCCTGATACTGTGCCTTTTGGACAGATTGCGTGTGTGGCGTAGTGGTAAAGCTTACAACTCCTATTGTGTCCGCTTACGTAACAGAGTATCAGGGATTTTACCTTGTGGATATCGTTCTGGGATCTCTGATTTCGGGCTTTTAATTGGGACTGGGTGAACAACCAATTGAAAAGTGGATCGAATTAGAGACAAGGATATATCTGCTTAATGATTGGATATTCTGAATTCATTAATAATGGATTATTAATGGTGAGGGTATTGGATAATAGAAGAGTGTTATTCTATTATTACAAATCATATGGTTGACTATAGTATAGTATAATAGCCCCTGCACTAGCCTTTTCGGGACGAAAAAGGTTAAAGAGGAGGGCTCTGTTATATGGATATATATATAGTAATAAGCTATCAGGAAACAATCCCTGATACTGTGCCTTTTGGACAGATTGCGTGTGTGGCGTAGTGGTAAAGCTTACAACTCCTATTGTGTCCGCTTACGTAACACAATTTCAATTTTTTATAAATATCTAGTAATCGATTTCTTGAAATATAATTGAAGGCTCCCTTTATATTTATAAATAAAACTAAAGTCTTTTTGTGAATTTGCTTATTTCTTTCGATTTCGATAATTAGAAAAAGAGCTGCATCAATTACTGATTTCTTTTATCAGCCTTCAATTTGACTCTTATATAATAGATTAATAGTTTCTACTAAATAGCCTAATCTTTAAGCTAAAATCCTTTCACTAATCTTTCCAAAATAGTTTAGAAATATAATAACTCTATATGCTTTTAGGGCTAAATAATCGGATTTTAAAGGTTTTTTTAGAATTGCTTCAATAGCTTGTTTCCAGCATTATAAATAATATTCTAAATTAATTAGATTACTGAATAGATTGAAAAAGATCTATGGAATTGCTTTATATACTTTTATAATAATCTTCTGAGTGATTCCATCTAGGCCAGGGGTTTTTCCTTGAATTTTGGCTGAACAAGTATTACTTAATTCGATTTGTGAAAAACTAAGTTATTCCTATTTCTTGGATTGCTTGTATTCTTCCCATTGTGGTTTTGGAGTAATAAGAGGAAATGGGAATAGAGTTGATCTAAAAGCAGAGCATTTTCCTTCAAAAGAGCTTTCTATTGAAATATCCGGTATCCTTTAATCTTGATAATCCTTCGTATAAGCCATTGCTTTGAATATTGTCTGTATATCCTCTTTTTCTAGAAATTCATTTTAATGATTCTTTTTAGCTGTTTTAATAGCCTGAAAATACTTGTTTCTAGCAATTCAATATTCTTCTTTAAAACTTGAGTTCTTCAAATCCAATTCAATTGATTGTTTTACTCTTCCTAGCTCTTTTCAAAGATCTATTAATTCGGGGGTTCACTATAGCTTCGCTTTTCTAATCGACGAAACTTTAGGTATAGAATTTTCAATAGCTTTTTAGATAATCCTTGTAAGTTTGCTTGCTGTTTAATTCAGATTAGAATAATTATTTCTTTTTTTCAAATCGTTTAGCGAATCCTTTTCAAATGAGACTGTTGATACCAGAGTAGAGAGAATAGGGGAATATAATGATTCTGATTTCAATATCGATTCGAATTTATTCTAATTAGCTAGCTTTGTATTGTATCTAGCTAGCGATATTGTATTAAGGGGACTTACTTCTTTTCCCTTTAACTCGAATAATATTCCTATATAATCGGATCCTGTATTTGAAAGTATTTGCTAGTTTTGGATTTGAAAAGTAATTCCTTTTAAAGCTAATATAAGATCAATAATATTTGGATTGAGGAGATTGGTATGATAAAAGGTATTGAAACCAGACTTGTTAAGAAGAATAAGATTCTGGTCTTCAAATTATTCGGTTAATTGATTAGCGTTTCCATTTTTTTCCGAAAAAGGATCCTATTATGAATAATGAGAATTGAAGTTATTTAGAAAAATGGTTTTTTGTATAATCATTGAATTGTATAAGTATCTTTCAATTATAAAGCCCTTTTCTTTAGCTTAATCAGCTTCATTATAAATATTAACTATTTGAAAGGTTTTATTTCTATTTCGATAATTGAAGATCTGAATATCAGAATCTCTTGGAGAATTGGGAAAAAGATTAATTGTAAATTAAAGGGTTTTTGAAATATATAATAATATTTATAATCGATATTTAGAATCGAATCTCAGAAGTGTTTATGTGAAATTAGAGTGTATAATCAATCTTGCATTTGAATAATTATTTCCATTTTTGATAATTCAAGATTCTTAAATAATAATAAGATTGATATTGAGTTCTATTACAAACTATAGAATGTTCTCTATAGCTTATGAACTCCGATTAAGATTTATTTGAATAATTCGAATATTGATATAATTCATTAATAAATATTATTCGATTTTTGTTAAATAACCTAATAGGTTTTGTATGTTTTTGAATTTGCTATATGATTCCCTTGATAGTTCGAGCATTTCGCTGTTAAGTGTTGATAGAACTTTCCTTTGATATTATATATCATATACAAATGTATTAATGTAATATGCTTATCTCCATATAAACTATAAGAAGGGTTTCTTTTATAATAAATATCTTGATATTCAAACCCTTGACACTTTTAGTATTATATAATTGATTTCGATTTATAAAAGTTTTCTACTCTTATACTACTTCTAGCAATATATAATCGCTTTCGAATAGCTAATTCTACTTCTGATTTTGTAGCAAAAGCAATAACTATAGCTCTCTTTTGTTGATAAGCTCTTTTGGAAACTGATGTGAGCTAAAAGGGGATTCCGATTGATTTGAAATCTAGATTAAAGGTTTTGATTTTCTCTAAAATAAGATTTATTCCTTTTAGTTCTGAGAATTCTTTTATTGGGATTTTGTGGATAATAACTTTATGCTATTTTTAATCCTTTTGAATCCTCTCGAATTTAATAATATTATTTTAAATAGTTTTCTTTTCTAAAAGGAATTGTAATGTAAAGGGATTGTTTGTTATAATAATGATATTATTATTAAAGGATAGAGTAGCTGCTGCAATAACTGGCCCTTTAATTCCATTCTTTTGAAAGGCTTCGTTTATTTTGTTTCGAATAGTTAAGAAGGAGAAGAAAGTAGAATTTGGGATTTCTGGTTTGATCAGGATTAGATATTTTTGAGTGATTTCAATCTTTTTGTTTATTAAAATAAGCTTAATAGCTTTTCCTTTATTGACTAAATTCCATTCTCCTTTTTTTGCTATAGTTGCAAAAGTTGATTTAGTTGGTATTGTAGTAATTGGGATTGGATTTTTGGCTAGTGTTTTAGCTTGAGATTCGATTTTCTATATAGCTGATTCGAAATAAGTGATTTGGGATACAATAATATTGGAGGCTATAGTGAGCTTTCCTTTTTCGATATATTCTCTAAAGATCTCTAGAAGATCTAATAGCTTCGATTGCTTATCATATAATTGAGAAAGAGTTGAGGCTAATATTATAAGATCTCTTACTTTTAGGATCGCTTTCTTTAGTATAATTGTTTTGTTTTGTATTCTAGATTGTTTATTCTGATTACTAAGGGGTATTATAAAGCATCATTTCTTATTCTAATTGAATATATAAATAGTATTAATTGTATCTTGAATAATGAAGAGGTTATTAAATAGATTGAACTCTTCAACTCTTTTTTCAGAATTGGTTGACTGATTGGTTGATAGAATAGGGCTAGAGATTTCGAATTGAGGGTTTTCAGAAGGCGGGGGAGGGCTTGAAGATATTGGGATACCTAGGATAACAATAGGATAAGTGTTTAGTATAATTGTTGAAATCATATATATGATACTAAGCAGTATGCTAGTAACAAACATCTTTTTCTATTCTAACAATAATAAAGGCTTCAGAAGAAGCCTTTATTATAGCTATATTCCGAAGTATTGATGGATTATTGTAACAATCCATATTGGGAGTTATATTCTTATTTTGAAGGTTTGAAGTAAAAATTTTATGCGAATTTTTGTATGAGTTTTGTATTTAGAATGCTGATAACAATATCACAATAATTACTGGTCAGAATCACTTGGGGGCAATTGTAATCAATTTGGTTTAATAACTATGATCTAAATCGATCGCGAAAGGGTTGTATTCGAAGAAAAAGTTTCCTTCGAAATTTGTTGTGTGAGCTCTGCATACAATACCCTCAGCTTTTTGTAAAACAGAGTTCTATATGATGAATTAGTGATTGATCTGTAGATAAGTTGAACAGACAGAAATCCTTCGTTGCCTTCGAGTTAGTGATGCAATATTAGATTTCATTCTTGATGAGAGACATGGCTTAAGAATGTTGATTTGTTCGAAGGAGTGGAAGTATTTGTTCTGGAAGCTGCAATCATTAAATATCCAACAAAAGACTGCTAATAATAAGTATACCGGGGTTATTTATGTTTTTTATGTACGTCAACATCCCTCTATTCAAATGGCCCAATAAAAGGGCGTATAATGAAATGAATGACTGAAATAGTCATAATGCAAACGGCATAGTAGATGATTGGAAGTTCACTGCGCTTTCCAATGTCAAAAGTCACTTCTTAAATCACAAAAGAGGTACATCATTTGTAAGGCATTAAGTTAATTTCTATGCCTAGTTTACTACTGCAAAATAGATCTATGTAGAGCTGTTGATTGGTAATCCTTTAAAACCCTGAAGCTGCCCAAAACATTATGGCTTCAGACGCCTCTTCCCGTCAAATAGCACAACCAATTTTCATGCTTGTAATGCAGTCAAAAGTGGTCCTTGATCCTAAAAATGAGAAATAAGCTTCATAAAAGCAATCGTAGACCCAGCCTTCGAATGATACTAGGCAGATGCAACATCCTCTCCTCGGGATAAGTATTTTCCATGCCTAAACTCTCCCATATCCAGATTGATCAATATTCCCTATTGGTCTGTATCTCTAACCCCAGCTGATCCCCTCTCTCCCCCCCCCTAACCCTACAAAGCTTTTTGGAGTGCTTTGCCTCTGCTGCTCGAAGTTGACGATCGATCCGTGAGTTGAACAGGATTTGTTGAACCTCTCGATTTTTTACCTTCATATCGAAAGTCCAACTAGGGAACTTGAGGCCGTAGACTGCGGACGCAGAGCTGACTTGTTTCCAGTCATAGTGATTGATATCAATAGAAAAGGTATCTCCTTGATGTGTGGAAAACCATGATAATTTCGACGACACGAGCGAGAATGTCTCGACGGTTGACTCCCTCGGTATCGTTTAAGTGCATTGCTGAAAACTATTCTCAGTTGAATGATATTTGTCTCATCAGCATATTGTGGAATGATTTCGAGAAGTTCATCGAAAATCTCCTTCTCTCCGGCGACTGATCTAGGGGTGCAGAAATCTAGATCGATGGACAGATCTGCCGGGCTTGCAGCGTACTTGATCATAGTATGAGGAGGAACATGGGCAAGTCGATCAGTGCGACGGGTGGCACGGTTACGCCGATTTGCGTTAGACTTGGGTCCTCTGGTTTTAGGCATTTTGATAGATCTAGAAGTATGAGTAATTCTGAAGTGCAGGGAAATGTTTTTGGTTGTAATTTTGTGAAACTTGAAGGCTTATTTCTGTGAATTTGTAGAAATAGTCTGAGTTGTTTGTTGATCGAAGGTTTGATTCAAGATGTTGTAATGAGAGGGGAATGATGGAGGGAAACTTAGGATCTTTGGAACCTATTTATGATTCCAGGAGAAGACACTAATATCAAATACATGCACATGTCGTACTTCACTGCCGTACATGATTCTTTCGGGAACCGTTTGTACTGGCGAGACAGTACAAGTGCTACGGTCAACGAGCGTAGATATTAGGTACGGCGTTATATAATCAGTATCAGATTGGGACTCAAATTGTATATATCAATCAGAAAAATTATTCATAGCACAGTGAATTGAGGAGAATACATGGAGTGTGTATGTGAACACTCATCATCTTGGAGACAGTCGTCTCCTATCTCAAATGAATCCTTCCGTTATATAATTTCAAACCGTCTACCGATGCTCAAAAGCTCCCGAATTGATCAATAAGTTCTTTAAAAGAGCTCTATACTATCCTAGAATCATAAAAAATAAGTCGCAATAGAAGCAAAACTCTCTATTCAGATTATCATGGAGCTGGAAAAATTCAGCTCTTCTCATATCATTGATGGTCTCAGATATGATACTAAGGTATAGGCAACGACTAATCAAGATGAGTTATTACTATTATCAGCAATCTGAATCCAATCTGCAAAACTGCGAAAACTGTGTGTTTTTGGGAGTTCAAGCACGAAGTACAAGAGATAATTTAATTCCCCAATTCGAGCGAGAGTATTGTGTCTTCTGATACCTGTCTTATTCTCATGTGGAGCTTTGAACTAGGCTGCGCAATGTGTATTTGAACAGGTATTTTGGAGCATGCTCAGTACTCTTGCAAGGTATTATGAGGTATCTCGAGAGCAATTTATGAACAACGATCAAAAATTCGTTTATCACTTTTTACTTGAGAGCAGCGATAGTCGAAATGTAGACTGAAGTCAGCTGCTCTAGGATCTTCATGCTGAGGAACTGAGCAGATTTCTCGGTAAGGACATGAAATCGAGACAGAAACTGAAGACTTGTGGTGAAGCTTTGAGACGATTGAGACGACTTTAATTGTGTTGTGGGTATTGTTTCGAGCCTTAAAGATGCTACCTAGTTATGTTTGGAAATCAAATTAGTTGGGGCCTTTATACCCGTTGTAAGAAGAGCGAATTATAAGAATCAGTATCTGCCACCTGTCTTGAGAGAGAAAAGTATGAACCATTCAATTTTTCTTAATTTACTTGGACATGGTTCTTGATCCTCTGCAACTATTCCAAGTCTCCTTCGACAGGAATCTATCTTGTCCCAAACTAGCCCACTTCAGAGGTATAAACCTCCCCAGGATTCGATCATTCCCGTCTCGTTTATTTCACAAATAAAAACGATGTTTACTTTTGCATCCCCTAGACAAAAATATGCTTTACAACTTAAGCATTTATTCTATATACCTAGGGAAAAGGAACAAATTTCCCCGTAAAGCGATACCAGCGAGACTTGAAGCGAATATCTCCCCGCAATGTACCCTAACTAAATGTATATCAGCAACAATCTTATCACTTTGTTCCGCGGATTAATTTTCATATCTCCTCAAAATATTACCATGCCATGGAGCTTTAGTTCTCAATCCTACTCGTATGAACATAGCTTTCAATCTTCAAAAGGTGGCATACACTCGGTTATTATAACTTTTGTAATATAAACCAACGACTTACATAACCCCAATTTTATAGTGTCCACATTTCAGGGCTGAGTCAATCCAGTTCCAATTATTCTGATAAAAACGCGTAAGTTCGTATTCGCACCTGTGCTTTTCGAAGTTTGGAATCTGATGAATCCATTAGGAAAAGATCAACGTTCGGGAGATGTACATTAATTGATTGATTGATTGATTGATTGAATTAACGTCCTTTTCTCCGTCCAAGACTATTTAGGACGGCTAGGCTTTAAGAACCTAACAACTGCTAGTGGATATCTACAGTAGATATATTCAATTTGGGGGAGTAAAAACGAATGCTGGGGTGTTATGCCTGATCTCTATTTGGAGTGTAAATAGAGATTAAATAGTCTTTATTCTTTGAGATACTTCCTTTCTTACTTTCCTCTATTCCTATCCAATTAAAGCATCCCAATATCCAATTTCTCTTTTTAAAATCCTAAATCCAATTTGCTATCCCTCCCTTTCTATAAAAGGCAAGAGTTATCCCCTTCCGAGTTGCCTCCAATATAGCAAAGGGTCCTCTTGCTAGTGAGATAGCAGAAGAAGGCACCACTCTTCTCTGTCTTTATCTCTTTTAAACTAGCCTTTGTATATCTTTATAAGCTTGATATCCTCCAGTTCTTATTAGATGTGTATAATCGAAACTGTTGAAAATAGTGGGGCAGGGCTGAATCCTAAGCTCTATTGCTTATATACAAATCAATTCGGAAAATTCGAAAATTCGAAAATTAAAAGAAAAACGTTGTATTGTATTGATGCCCAGAGTATGGTATTATTTGAAGGTGATGGCATTCTCTGTATTGTGTTGTCGTAGTATTTGAGTGGCTGAAAGCCAAAGGGTATAAAAAAGGGTTGTAGTATGAGTAGAGCGGCGGTAACAGTGCACACAACAAATTTCGAAGGAAACTTTTTCTTCGAAATACAATCCTTTCGCGATCGATTTAGATTATAGTTTATTAAACCAAATTGATTATAATTGCCCCTAAGTGATTCTGATTAGTAATTATTGTGATATTGTCGTCGATACTTTAAATACAAAACTTATATAAAAATTCGTATAAAATTTTTATTTTAAATCTTTAAAATAAGAATATAATTTCTAATATGGATTGTTTGTAATAATCTATTAATACTTTGGAATACAATTATAATAAAGGTTTCTTCTAAAGCCTTTATTATATTAAATACTTATTTCATTATTATTCTAGATACCCTAATATTTTCAAACTCTTCTTTGCCTTTTGAAAACCCTTAATTCGAAATCTCTAGTTCTATTCTATCAATCAATCAGCCAACTAGTTTTAGAAAAAGAGTTGAAGAATTCAATCTACTTAATAATCCCTTTATTACTCAAGATATTTATTTATTTATTTATTTATTTATAGTGATTAACGTCTAATATCTAACCTCCCAAGGGGTATTCTAGACGTACTAAGGAGCGGGCCTACGGGCCGCTAGCGTTCCAGCCGCTCATAGTAGTGTAATGTTAGCTAATCAGGGGCTTGTTGCTTCTGGTATTCCCCCGCTCAGTACCGCTCATAGCGATCCTGCGGCTGTTCTGTCTAAGGGTTTGTGGTCCTGTTTCAGAGGGCCTTGTTTCGTATGCCATCCGGGTGTCGGCAGATGATCAGGTCGATTGCTATCGATCGGGAGAGTGCTTGGAGCGTTTATGGCTGTTCGGTACAGATCTTAGGTTGATTAGGGTGGAGAGCTTATCCTCGGGGTATTGGAGCAGGTTGGAATTCGCGTAGTTTCGTATAGTTTGAGCATATCCTAGTATAGAATCTGGATTTAGCAAGAAGGTCAGTAAAACTATATTGTGTTCACAGGATACGGTTGATATATGCTATCGCGTCCCATTCGGATTGAAATCGATTTGATACAAGCGGCCAATCGCCGCGCGTCTGATTATTGATTGAACATTGAAAGAAATACAATGGGCTTTTCTCAATCCCATATATACAGATATTCATACTATTTTCGTGATTGAATCTGATGTAATAGGCTGCAAAGTCACCGTGTCCAGTCCGCATCGCTATGAGTCTGTGTAGTACCCCGCAAGGGAGCTTGAGGCTTTCCGGCTCCGAGATATCATATACCGGTTTCCATGCATTGTACGTTTCGGAGATTAGGCCCCTTTTTTCCTTCCACCATCTGCTCTCGGAAACGCCGACATTTGGCACGTAGGACAAAGCGGGAGCTGCTGACTGTGGGGAGGCAGGATGGGCTAGGGTCAAGCGGCCTAGCTGTGTCCTGATCAGCAAGGCGATCGGCTGCCTCGTTGCCCTCAATCTCAGTATGCCCAGGGGACTACTTGATTACAATATCGTAGTGTTGCATCGCTTGATGGCATTTGTGGTATACCCATTGAAAGGAGGCAGCAGTGGTTCCTCGTATTCCCTAGATTACTAAGATGCTATCAATGCATAACCATATTCGTTTCTGGTAGGGGCAATCAATAATGCTCAGGAGGCGTTCTAGTCCCCGCCACGCGCCGATCGCCTCAGCATCAAAAACATGCAACTGTTCGCATACACAGCCGTAGCCGCTATCGATCTATTGCTTGCCGCGGTAGATTGCAAAGCCGTACCCCACACAGTAACCGTATTCATCGTATTGTTCAGACCCGTCTGAAAACACAGAGTAGTCTTCTTGGGGATTAAGTCCCACCATTCCTTGAATGCTTTCGCGGTGTCCTCTTTGTCCATACCATTCGTTGGATCGGTGCGGCACTCGGGAGAAAAGTGAGGCCATAAGAGTCTGGGGCACTCGGTGGCAGGGATCGCCCGTCCTATTCTTTGCAGTTTTGTATTGGGACCTTTCAGAGTACCTGTGCCTCGTCCTCTCTTCCTGATGCACAGCTTCAATCGGTTTACAAGTAGGTGTTGTGCATCCACTATCTGAAGCCGAAACGCGAACCTCAGTCTGGCTTGCTCTAGTACAACAATTCCAGCTAGGAGACCAGCTTCTACGAGGAGTGCGATCGTCGGGGTCGTCTTGTAGACGGGTAAAGCTCCCCGTGCTGCACTGTGAATCGTCTTGCTGACTAGGTCGACATGTTTCTTGATCCCGGTGCCGACCGGAACATGGCCTGCATTTGGACGTTGTTTGTATAGCCCATCGAACCATACTTCGGAGCTGAAGAGGGCGACAGAGAGTACACAGGTAATGATCGCTTTTCGCAAGCAGGCTGCAGATGGTCCGT